AAAATCTGACAGCGTTTCTTGATCATTCGAAAAACCATTGTACACGAGATTTTTTTTTTTCAGGAAAGTGTCCTCGTACATAAAAAATCAGCGTGCTGATTTTCAAACAAGGACACTCCAAACAAAAAGGCAACTATTGACATCCAAAAGAGCAAAAGAAAAATTGCCAAATGAAAACTTATCCGAAACGTTTACATGTCCAAGAGCCTTTCGATACGCTTCATAAATTTTACTCAATGATTTATGTGGACTCGCACAAAAAAAAAGTCCATACATTACAAAGGTACTTTAACGAACGCAAACTTCACTTTCTCGAATCCTACCTCCATAAGACACAAGGCCATGTTGGTCCGTCGGTAATCTTTGCCTCAATTCACGCTGTTGGTCTTCTGTTGGAGTATATCCTAAATACCTCAAGGCCTGGATTCAAAAATAAAAAAGGAAACATTACCATCACAATAGCAGCAGATGCATTAATCGTGCAAACTTTGTAGTATTTCAAATCCACCAATTTTTAAACAAACAGATGAATCGACTTAAACAAATCATGTTTATTCAGCTGACTCAGAAAAGATAAAAGAAATCGCGAAAACGTCCTTCGCATATTTTGAAGCGTTGCGCCTTCATCACGATCGCTCTCCAAAGGAAAACACAAATGCAGGGAAGGTAAGGTTATGCATGGTTTTGGATCGGATGTTTTTCATCAATAAAATTGCAATATTTTACATGAAAGATTTCGCCATCCTGGAAAGATTTCGCCATCCTGAAAAGCTGTTAATATTCATGCGGTTTGTTTTCACATTTAGCTTGTAAACAAAACGACATGAGCAAGCTCAATGTTTTTTTTAAACTACTATTAAAGCTATTGAGTCATCAGTGAGAGATTTGACCATGCGGTGTTATAACATAACCAAAGTAAAGCGCACGCTCTGATTGGTCAATTCAGCTTCCACCATTTGCCCATGGGTGTACGCTGCTGACGTGAGCAAATGCTAGACTAGTTTTTCGCGCGCGCTTGTTTTTTCTGGTCACGTAATTGCTACAACGTATCAATCTTATGCAAACGGTAAACGCCACAGTGTACACTATTGAGTTTTAGTATAATTTCGGAGCTGAGCAAAGAGTTTCCAGCAATCTGATTGGTCGAGCGGTTCCTTATATGACGCTATATAAACCGCTCCGCGCGGTTTATATAAAATGTTAAACTAAAATGTTAATAAATTTTACTAAAATGTTATGATTTTAGAAATTCCTCTGTTGTTCAGCTTTGAAATTATACTAAAACAATTATTCGCCTCAGGATCGGTGAATATTGTCGAATAATCCCCTCGACTTCGTCTCGGGGATTATTCGACGATATTCACCTCGCCTTCGGCGAATAATTGTTAAATAT